TGCATCGTCAAGAGCATCTTGACCAGCTGCATCACTGTCTGGTATGGCAGCACAACTGCTATGGACCGCAAGAGAGTGGTAAAGATTGTGGAGAAGATCACCACGACTCCACTGCAGGAAAGCTGCCTCCATCCTCAAGGACCCTACCCATCCCCAGCACGGACTGTTTATACCCCTACTCTCCGGTCGGAGGCTCAGAAGTGTGAAATGCAGGACCTCTAGACTGAAAAACATATTCTCTCTGCATTATGTTGTGTTTTTGTTGCATTTTTAGTGTGCTTCTTTCACTTGCTGCTTTAAAGTGCCTTAGATTTCTGTTAATGCCTATTTAGATTTATTATTGCTCATCTAATTTATATTTCATTTGTATTGTGTGGCATTCATGTGGACGGCAAAGTAAGAATTTCATTGTACAGGGAAACATGTTTCTTAACTGTGCATATGACAAATAAACACTTTGACCTTGACCTATATACAGCCTGCCCAGAGGGGCATTATGGGGGATCCCACGAGGTGCTTTCCCCTCAGGCATTCTGGGGGACCCCACCAAATGTCTCTCTGCCTCCAACGCTACAGTATTGTAAGCATTCACTTCCAGTCATCAAAACATGTGGATCTACAGACAGGTGATTCCCACAAGAGACTACTGTACTTACATAGGCCTAATCAACACACACACACACACACACACACGCACACCTGCATAGACATTATAGCTCCCTCCTGGCCCTCTATAAATCCAGGGCCACTCTGACAGGCCACATTAAGAAGAGCCTGCTCAGCATGAACACATCATAAAAGTGGACAGGCAATTTCTGTTTTTGCCAAATAGCCAGACATGCTCGTTCTGCATCTCTGGTTTTAATACACTCGACAAGCAGCTTAGCAGCCACAGAGAGGGAAGCCATAGGCCCCAGAGAGAGAGGGCAAAATGATGTGTGTATATGTGGAACCAGAGATAGAACGAGTCAGACCTTCCAGCACTGCTAAATCCATTTGTTCATCTGAATTATCAACTACAATTTTATTAATATGCAAATTTAGAAGTAGGGAGGGTGAAGGTCTGAGATAATTCTCTTTGTGGATGGTAATTAATCACCGCTTAAAATAAATTAATACATATATCAATTTTGTCAGGGACACGCTTAGTTCAATAGCCTGTAAAATTGAAGTTTGAAGTGTTAAGGGGCTCTACAGGAACGTTATAACTAACACGTTCAAATCCACCCTATTTAGTGATCAATCAAGCTGTGCCCTCAGGCCGAGGCAGCTCATTTCTTCAGCTCCTGTCTTGACGCACAGAAACAGTACAGCACAGATGCCTGCATGACACACACTACATCAGAGCTGCAGAAAATTCAGTACAGCACAAAACAGCTGTCATTATTTTTAGTGTGATATAAAACTATAAAACAGTAATTATCTGCAAAAAAGACAATGATTAACATACCATTTGTTTCTACTAATACTGATGACAGGACTAACAATACATAGTAATCAATAATATTTATTAATTTACATAAAGAAAACTATAATTATTGATGCAAATTATAATAATGTGCTGGAGCTTTATTACAGTGTCATAACGATTATGAATAGTTTGCTTGTGTAGGCTATAAATATATTTGATATTGTGTAGACAGGTCCCAGATGGTAGCAGCCAGTCGTTTAGAGGTCCGGCAGGAAAAAGGGGGAGGGGGGGCAGGTGTTTAATTAGGCCTGTATCAAACTTCAATTTTCTGGCTGATTGAATAAATGATTCCTCTCTCTCTCTCTCTCTCTCTCTCGCCTCCTCCTCCTCTCTGTCTGTATGTGTGCGTGGGTTTGTTTTTCTATACTTGTGAGGTACGAGAACCAGGAGCACACTATCTTGGTGGGGACTTGCCCAGGTTGTGGGGAGTAAATCATCTAATTTCACAAAAAATGACTATAGGTGTAAGGATAAAACAACATTCAGCTTTGGTTAGGGTTCTTCTCCCGGAAATGAATGTAATTCTATGTAGGAACCTGGAAAGTTTCAAGTTACCCTCACATTTCCCACCATATGGCCCCCAAAAACTAAAATAGTCAGAATGTTGTTATCCCACACACAGTATTACAGTCTACACGGCCTGTGTAGCCTACACACGGTAGTAGGCTGGATTAAAAAACGAAGGAAAGTATCTGGTCCTTGGGGAGAGTGATAAGAATGTAGCTATTTTAAAACATAAGCGGATCAATGGGTCATTATTATGATTTATAGCCTCGTGTTTATATTCTTTAAGGGAAATATTAAAGAGTAGTCTAAAAAGCTATACAAAAATAAAGCATTGTTTCACAAATTCAACATTAAATTCACATGGACTGAACAATGCTGAATATCATGCAATGCACATTTCCCCCAAACTAGGAACTGAGCTATTAAAAGAAAACATGTACAGACAACAGAAATGACCAAAATAACTATGGGAGTTTTACAGGAATTAGAATAAAATCTGTGTTTTTAAAGCTTTTCTCAAATAATTGCACAGCTGCACTAGGTCACCATATACAGTATACATATATACACACACATACATACAATATATGTATATACTGTATGTATGTATATGGTTATATATATATACATATATATATGTGTGTGTGTGTGTGTGTGTTGCCAACTTCTAAACAGCTGCGGACTACAGAAGCAAACCTTTGTAGGTGTTGAAGAGCTTTGTAACCTCCTAGTTAATTATTTCACGGCTCCCGCACCGACACAAAGCTCCGATCGGCCCACCAAACTCCATTCACATTCATGACCGTGTTTTATTCCAGCAGGCCCCAGACTGACAAGGTTGTCTGAATTATGTAGAACAAAAAGGAGGTTACGTCGTTGGAAAGAAGGGTTAAGTTAATCAATCATAGTGACGACTCGTAATTAACAGGAATGTCCTTACACCATACGGTCTCTGAAACTCTCCGCCTTTGTGCCAGAGACACGCTGTGTCAGTACTGCGCCCTGTGGAGACGCGGCCCCAGGAGTCTCTCTATCTCTCTGTCTCTCTCTCCCCCTCCCTCTCTCTGCGACTCCTTCTCTCCAGTGCCTCTTCCTCGCTGCAGATTGTATTTCTCACAGAGAAATATGAAGGTCCACGCTTAAGGTCAGAATAAAACAAGTTCTAAACCTCTTTATCCGCCACACTCCTCCCAAACATACAAAACCTCAAACGTGGAAACTGTAACAGAAATAGTTGTATTCGATAGGTGGACGCGTCAAAGACTTAACAGTAGCTTATCTGACAACATTTGATTTTATATTGATAGCTTATTTTATTTTAGAATTTGTACAAGTTGTAATGTGCGTTCTGAAGGCACTTAAAGTGTGTACAAAACATCGTAAATATATTAAATCTTTATTTATTACAAGCTATTACACGTTTTCTGAGTGATTATCATTTCAGAATAATTAATAGGCCTATATCAAAAACACAATCGTACGAGCTTCTACAGTTTAGAAGCTACAGTCAAAGCAAATGAAACATGCGGAACAGTAACAAGAATAACCCACCGACCGCTGGTTTTCCGTTTCTCTCTCTTTATCATTTTGCATGTGCACGTTTCACAAGTTTTTCTGAGTGCGCACATCGTTTTTAGCCTCTGGCTTCTGTCAAATCAAAGCACTGGGACTGTTCTTTGTGAAGTTTCGCCGCATCACTTTATGCCCATGCATGAGGGGCAGTCGTCTTAACCCTCGGGTTTGTCTGCAAGCATCGCGTTATTTGGCACTCCACACAGCTGTCTTGGTGACCACTGGGGCTGACTTCAATCATCCACATCGATCTCCTCATCGTCGTCCTCTGAGCAAAACTTGCTGCACAGACGGCCCGTGTACCTCGTGGACGCGGGGGAAGGCATGGACGGCAGGCTGAGGTCGAGGCTCTCAGTGGTGTTGTGCGGGGACCCGGAGGAGGCCGGGTCAGGCTTGGTGTGGCCTGGCGCGGACACTTCCCCCACTCCCATACCTCCGGCCGCGCACCTCTCTAGCTCGGCCAACTTGGAAAGCTTCTCAAAGGCCACAGCGCCCGTGGCCTTGGCTGACTCCACGTCCGCTTTCATCTCCTCTAGGTCCCTCTTGAGTTTTGCCCGTCGGTTCTGAAACCAGGTGATGACCTGCCCGTTGGTCAGACCGAGTTGCTGGGCGATCTGGTCCCGGTCTGCCGGACTCAGATACTTCTGGTACAGGAAACGCTTCTCCAGCTCGTATATTTGGTGGTTGGTAAAAGCCGTGCGAGATTTCCGCCGCTTTTTAGGGGTGTTCCTCTGGCCGAAAAGCGTCAGACCGTCTCGGCCTAGAAGAAAAAGATGAATGACTTAATCACACGAGGTGCAAAAATAATATCTGAGCATGGGCGATGTCGATTCATGTCATTTAGCAATTCAAATTACTAAACCTGTTAGTAAAAACTAATGAAGCCCATGAGGCACAAAGCATTAGAACCACTCCAGTAACAATTCTACCAAAGCAGAATCACTGGCAAATGTTTGGATTTTATTCAGGCTAAAATAAAAGAAATCTCTCTTCTAGGTTACTGGAAATCGTTTGAACTGAATTCTTGATTCCTCGCAGTGAAACAATTTATATCCTTTCCCTCCATTGTTAGTTATCATTTATTAAAATAATTTCGATCCGAGGGGCTTAGCCTGAGAATACGGCTACAGGTTCCCACAACCAGAGAGTTAGTAGTCACCAAAACATCATGTAAAAATAATGTTTGTCTGTGTGAATAAATCAAGAGTGAAAACTGGATTTGAAAATGATTTAAAATAATGGTTTAATTTGTATAAAAGCTGTACAGGGTCTTTCGGGCTTTCAACTGAAGACTATTGTAGGTTTATACTATGATAACATAACATCTTTCATCTCTTTTGTTTACTACATGAAAAACAGATCACATTAAAAAATAATAACCACTAGTTTCGATTTTTTAACGAAACACGTCGCAGAAAATTTCTGGAATCATAAATAATTAATTAAAAAACTCCCAATTAAATTGATTAAAACAGGCTAAAATCCAACTTTCGATTTTAAAACCAGTCTCCAGAAAAGAGGCTACTGGTGTTGCAACAGCTACGAGAACAAATGGTGACTGTGTTTATTCTTCTCATAAAAACACAACAACCACTGGAAGAAACGCGGCGGTTTACCCTCAGCAGCCTGCAGGACGCTGACCTCTAGGCCCTTGAAAGTTTTGCTGGCCAGCTCCTCCAGCGCGCTGAGTGGGGAGGTCTGACCAAACAGCGCACGGTCGGACAGGCTGTGACCCACCGAGGGCAGCTTATCAGCAGGAGACAAGAAGTGTGCCGCCCCGCTGAAGGAGGAGGTTCTTCTCACGTACGGCTTGTTGAGGATGTCCTCGATGCTGAAAGGAGTCAGTGGCTTTGCGGAGTTGACCGGCGGCGGGAGCTGATCCAGCGACCTGCGCCTCCATTCCTCCAGCACCACTGGGCATTTGGAGTCGTCCTCAGAGGTCATGGCGACGCGGGTCACACCTGACTGTGGTAATTTAGACAAAGGCGATTCCAAGATAACAGACGGTGGTGGAGTTATACAAAGAGGGATGACAGTACAATAAAGACAATCGCTGCTCGGATCACAGGTGCCTTTGCAGCCGCATGTTGACCGCTGAGCTGAAAGCTGCAGGGACACTTCTGACTTCCACAACAACCGCCACCTCTCCGAGCCACTTGCCCAGAGTGACGCACAACGAGACACGACCTGAACCCATCCGGGGCACGGTGATGTACAAAAAGCAGCAGTGATTGACCACCAGTAACAATTCATTGCTGACTAGATTGCAATCGATCTCTCTCTCTCTCTCTCTCTCACCCTCATTCCGTGTATTTGTGTGTCTCCGTGTGTGCGTGTGTGTCTTTTGGATGAAGTTAGATAGGCTACCGGGAGGGAGTATTTAGATGGCACGGCGAAGAGGAGGAGTCTATTAGAAAGTAGAGCAGGGCCACTTAAAACTGTCTCACTAAAACAGGATAATGTGTCACCAAACAAGTAAATGTTTATCTTCTCATTATCTTTATTTGCATACCGATACTGTGCGTGTGATCAATCTCGATAAATCCACTCTGTGCCGATCTTCAGGTGCGTTAGAAACACAGAGGACAAACTCCCGTCAAGCTGAACAAGAAGACAGAGCCGGGGGGAAACACGCAGCTCCTGAGCATTGGGACACATTTTATTTAGTTTTATTCTGAAAACATGTCCAATATCTTTCCTTCATGACGCGATCCATTGAAATGTACATACAGCAAGCAAAGTGGAAAACATTCTTCTGTTATTAAGAAGCTACAAACAACACTTCCCATCACATTTAAAATGGCCCATGTTATTAAATGATGTGATGTCATACTGCAGGAGCGTCCTTTCCCAGCATTGTCATACCTTGGTTATATATTGTCTGTCTGCTCAGAAGAGCATTGTGTCGCCCCCCCATTTTATAATGCCTGTATTAAAAATTTCAAAAGAGAAATTAGACAAATCATTTTAATTTAATGTTTTTCTTTTGTGTGTATCTGACTTTTCTCGACTTCTTTTAATCTGGAGAAACCAAACTAGTACATAAACTGATGTAGTTTCTCTGTGGGACAGACATACTCTGTTTAAAGCACTGTTTTTTTCAGTGAACAAATAATAACCTATTCAATGGCTCATTGCATCAGTGTTCATTAAATAGCTGTGCTTAAATAACATTTTCAAGTGTAGAATAGTTTTGGAATTGAAACCATAAAATATTTGATCAAACAATTTGTCAACACATCACTGAATCTGTCACCTCAGACTTGTTGAGGTGTGATAGCCAGACAATGAACCACTGTATTACAGGTGTTATGTTCCTGGCAGTGTGGAGCATTCAGACCTTCATTCAGTGAAATCACCGCCACCAAATTACTGGAGAAGGGGGATGCGGACTCTTAACATGGAAAGAGATGCAGAGGCTTGAGGCCTCACTGCCTCACCTATTACAGGACAGGGTCTTGTGTAGCCATTACTGCTAGTATTAGTGGTAACAGCAGGCTCTGTCAGAACTGATTGAATCTGAATTTATTACAGAATGTCAGCCATTAGATTGGATTTATTTTTATACAAACAAAAATATAGTTGGTGCATTGGTGGTCCAGAAGTAGCAGGTATCCCTGGTTTGTTAACACTGCAGTGGTGTGTTTCTCTGATACGTTTTTGATCATTTTTGAACAACAACTGAGGTTTATGGCACAGACAAATAAGCTAATCCAGGCTGGAGACTGACGGACTCACTGCGAGCAGAGGCAGTTCATTATCACCAAGTGCTTGCTCAAGGAGGATTTGTTGGGTTTTTCTCCATAATATGGTTAGGCCTAGACCTTACTGTGTAAAGTGCCCAGAGATGACTGCTGTTGTGATTTGGCACTATATAAATAAAACTGAACTGAATTGTTGGTTTTTGTCTCTGTATGAGAATTTTTAGAAAATGACTGATCTTATCCTTTAAACTGATGTTGCTCCTACAAAATACAAATACTCAGTTTTATTACTGTGTGCATATGTGTGTACATGTGTTTCTAAGGCTGTGTGGACACATTTTAGAACAATACTGCTGTTGTGAGAAGATTTTTTACATTATGAGGACATTTTGGGCTTTCTGAGGGTCACAGCTTGGTTTTTGGGTTAGAATTACAGTAGGTTTAGTTTGGGGGTAGGTTAGGGGAAAGTTTGAGGTTAGGCTTAATTATGATGGGTATGGTCAGGGCAATGGGCTGTGTGTGTGTGTGTGTGTGTGTGTGTGTGTGTGTGTGTGTATCTTAATGAAACTGTGTGAGCATTTAAAATGAAATTGTACAATAAAAAGTTAATAACAATAAACAGTCCCAACAGAGATTCATGCATTTGTATCAGGAATAGATAGACAGATAGATAGATAGATAGATAGACAGACAGACAGACAGACAGACAGAGTTTGTCAATCAGTTGGTCCACAGCAAAACATTTAGTTGGAGGCCATAAAAAGATGAATTAGTGATTAGGGAAATTTAGGCAGACCATCTGCTTGTCACAGCTTTTTGGAGCTCTGAACAAATGTTCAGACAGTTTTATTTTGTGATTTACTCCTGCACTGGCCACACTGTGACATTTGATTTCACGCCTTGTCTTGGATCTTTTCAGAGAGGGCCTCCCTCCTTCCCCTTCATGTTTCATTCTACACCAGTGAGCTCAGCATCCATATGGATAGATGTGATGTCTTCATCTGATACTTTCCCCCAGAAAAAAGAAACACTCACTTTTCCATGTAGATTTTATTTAATCTTCAGAAAGTACGCTCTGTGAAGTGCCGACCTGGGGCCCCTAGGTGCTCTGCTATGCTCCGGTTTCACTGGCTTCCACTGACACTGCTTACATAAAAAGCTGCACAAATGTATAAAAATAAACACTCTTAGCTTTTCCGCATCCATCTCCTATTGCCCTTTCAACATTCTGTATGTGTTATAATAATAATAATAATGTTATTATTATTATTACAACAATAATAGTGATTTTCTGACCTTATTAAAAGTTATTATATAGTAAAACAAAATTTGAAAATGTTGCTCTTCCATTTGAAAGTGTCACAATACAGAAGTTAAAACATTATTACCTATGTAGATGTTATTGTGTTATATGTTATATTTTTAAATGATATATGAGCTATTTATAAACAAATATTTGCTCTTCCACAAATATATGGAAAGTTATATGACAAGGATGTATTGTGTGGTTAACTTCTCGAATAGCTTGAAGTGAAGGATGGCTGGAAAGTGTTCAATATCCCAAACAGAAAACAATGTTGTAACAGCAAACGAGAAAACTGTGGCTTCAAACATCACAGAGACTGGGGTCCTACTGGCCTCAGTGGCAATGAGAGATGGGGCAGTGCTCATTTATTTTCTGTTGAGTGTTTCTACATAATGGTAAATAATTATTCTTAAAAGCCTTTTTGAAAAGACACCAAAAAGCTTGGTAGAACTAAAGGGAACTGTGACAGATAAGCTAGTAAGTCTTGAATTCATTTGTTTAAAAGGCTGTAACAAAGTAGGCTAACTTCACAGTTAAGGTGGTTGTTAGCCGAAGATGTTAAAAAGCTATATCAAACTCAGGGTAACTGTGATATATAATGTTAGTTTCATAGCTAACGTTGTGCTACAGAGTCATCAAACAGGTGCAACCATGTGCTGACACAGGGCAGGAAACTAGGAGTAGTTCACTGTTTTATTATCAAGCTCGGTAGATGTGGGGAAAGGGCCAGGGGTTGATGGCTTGGTGGGAGCCTGAGGTAACAGCCAAGCTGGTGACTACAAGCATGGGCATAGGGAGGTAGGGTAAGTGAAGTCTGATGGGGTGGATGAGTTGTTGGCTGGCAGCCTGAGGATGTGGGTGGCAAGATGGCCGCCAGCTGATACAGGCATATCCAATGAGGTGTAGAAGACTGTGACAAGAGGAAAAGCAGGCAGGACTGTAACAGATGAAAAACATAAGGCTGAGTCAGAGAGATCGCCCACCAGCTCCATGTGAATGCTCCTGACTATACGCTGCTGTATTCTAACATGTGCTCACTCTGTCCTTACATGGACTTTGTACTAGAGACCTGGCAGAGAAAGGTCTGCCACAGTCTTCACACACAGCTTCTCTGGATAATGTCTAGGGAATTTCAGGTTTCCATTGCATGTCTGAAAAGGGCTATACAGAGAACCACTCCTCATGAAGGAGTAACAGGCTGAGGCCATACCCCTCCCAGGAAGGTCTTGGCTGACCTGGCTGTCATGCAGTGTCCCGGAATCCACTGTTAAGCTACAGACTAACTCTGTATACCGAGGAGACCAGACTGCAGCCACCGGTAAGGCAAAGGGGGAGGTGTGTGTGTGTTTATCAACAACTCGTGGTGTGGAGATGTACAGATTGTCTATAAGCAGTGTTCACCAGATGTGGAGTTTTTATTGCTGAAATGCCGGCCCTATTATGGCTTCTATTCTACTGCTGACTCCGGACAAATGTGGCAGGGCCTGCAGCACATCACAGAATACAGGACCACCACCAGCATCATCAGCTCCACAGACAGCCTGCTGGATGACCTCAACACCTTCTACACCCGCTTTGAGCCCTCCAGCTCACAGAGAGGAAGCATGCACACACCTGGACCACCCAACCCCCCACCTCCCCACCATTAACTGTCTCGCCAGGCCAAGTACGCACAGTCCTGAGGAAGATCAAAGATCAACCCCCACAAAGCAGCAGGACCAGACAACATCCCTGGGAGGGCTCTCAGGGCATGTGCCAGTGAGCTGGCTGATGTTCTCACCACCATCTTCAACCTCTCCCTCAGCCAGGGCATCATTCCCATTTGCTTTAAGACCACAAGCATCATCCCCCTTCCCAAGAACAGCCCGGTCACCTGTCTGAACAACTACAGGCCAGAGCAGCACCAGAGAGAGGTGCTGGCCCACATCCAGAGCACTATACCGGACACCATGGACGCCCTGCCTACCGGCCCAATAGGGCCACCTCAGATGCCATCGCGCCTGTCCTCCACTATTCCCTTTCTCACCTGGAAAATGGAGATTCCTACATCAGGATACTCTTCATTGACTACAGCTCTGCCTTCAACACAGTTGTCCCCCACAAACTCACCCCCAAACTGTCCACACTGGGTCTGCACCCCACCTTCTGTGACTGGCTCCCGGACTTTCTGACTTGCAGGGCCCCAAACGGCAGGCCCCAGACTGTCAGGATTGGCAACAGGACTTCAGCCAGCATCAC